CTGTCTCAGTGTTCCATCTTACTCTAAAATCCTCTTCTTCCTTTTTTTTTTGTAAAATTTTACTTATTTGAAAAGCAGAGAGAAAGGGAGAGACGAAAGAGAGTTCTTTTATCTGTTAGTCACTCCCCGGATGCTTGCAACTGCAAAGACTGGACCAGGCCAAAGACAAGAGCACAGAACTGAATCTAGTCTTCCACTTGGGTGGCAGGGACCAGGCAAATGAGCCATTACCTGCGTCCAAGCATGTGCATTAGCGGGAAGCTGGAATCAGAAGTGAAGTGGGGACTCTATTGCAGGTTCTCCATTATGGGAAAACCTCTGTGTCAAACCCTTGCCTATAAAATCCATTCCTTACTGCTGTGCGTGGTAATTTACTGCTCTACCTGCTAGTTGTTTCCATCTCCAGTTATAATTCAGGGTGATTTTATGTAATGAACCAGTAGCCATGCTTACAGGACTTACAGAGACTTTGACATTTCTTTCTTCTTTTTCTTTCTCCATTGTCTCTGCAAATGGAAGGGAAAAAGACATAGATTCAGTTTTGCACTCATCTGGATTGTGTCACTGGCTTTGGAAAGTAGAAATAGCTACAGCCATTTTTTTTAGAGTGAGATAAAATTCACATAACATAAAATTATGCCATTTAAAAGGTACAGTCTGGTAGCCTTTAGTACGTTCATAATGTGCAACTAGCACCTCTATATAGTTTGAAAACATTCCCAGTGCTGTCAGCATTGTGGCATAGTTGGTAAAGCTGCTGTGTGTAATGCCGGCAATCTATGTGGGCACAGATTGGTGTCTTAGATGCTCAATTTCTGATCCAGCTCCCTGCTAATGACCTGAGAAAGCAGTGGAGGATGTTCCAAGTGTTTTTAGCCTCTGCCATCCATGTGGGAGACCCAGATGAAGCTCCTGGCTTTGGCCTGGCCCAGGGCTGGCCTTTGTGGCAATCTTGGGAGTGAACCATGGGTGGGAGATCTTGCTCTGTCTCTCTCCCTCTCTCTGTAACTCTGACTTTAAATAAGTAAGTAAATCTTAATAAAAAAGAAAAATCTCTAGAATGCAGCTACTCCCTATTTCATCTTCTTTACAGCTCCTGTGATCAATTTGAGTTCTCTCTGAACAGTTTTACCTATTCTACATATTTCACATAAATGGACTCATGGGATATGTGGTTCTTTGTTACTAGCTTGTTTCATTTAGCTTGAGGTGTTCAAAGTTCACCCACATCCTAACATGTGTCAGTACTTCATTCCTTTATATGGCTGAATAATTATCTGTATTTATCTGTCTATGTATCTATCCATCTATCTTCTTGATTTGTTTATCTGTTCCTCTATTAAAGGATACTTGAGTTGTTTCCATTTTTTGGATATTTTTAATTTTGACCAATATGAACATTCATAAACAACTATTTATTTGAATACAGCTTTAGTTTTAAAAAATTTTTCATTCCTAAACACTAAGCTCCCTTTTGTATCTTTAATAAAGTATATTGGAGTGCTTGATAGAGTACTGCAGTGGTCTGACCTATATTGGAGTATGTTGTAGAGTACTGCTGTGGTCTGACATGTATTGGAGTACTCGGTAGAGTACTGCAGCGGTCTGACGTGTATTGGAGTACTTGCTGGAGTACTGCAGTGGTCTGACATGTATTGGAGTACTCGATAGAGTACTGCAGTGGTCTGACATGTATTGGAGTACTTGGTAGAGTACTGCAGTGGTCTTACCTATATTGGAGTATTTGGATTTTATAATGGTCACTGTTTTGTTTTCTTTTGAGGTTGTCACATTCTACTTTAGCCCCTGGTGCTGTTTTCCTGACAAGGGAATGGAAAACTGGTTGTGGCCACTGCTTTGGGTCCTGGATTAATTCGCCCCTCATTGTAGAAGTGGGAATGTCTATTGTATCACTGCCTAAGAATAGGCAGTGTGTAGTCAATGCACAGCATGACGATTTGAAGGAAAATGCCAGGGAATACTAGGCCATGAATGGTGAACCAAAGGGGGGTATTACATTAGAGCCTGTTTCTGGGCTTTAGTGGATGTGATTTGAGAAAAAGACATTTCTGTCACATTCCTATGTTCTTTTAGTACAAATGTTATGTCCCTGTGCAGCTTGACTTGTGTTTCTAAGTTAGTATTTATCAACTAGAGATTTAGTGTTAGGTCTTTTTACCCCTTGAATCAGCATCAAAAGACCACTATCATCACTTTTGTTAGCCAACAGCCATAATGATAAACAGGATTTCAGTTTTAACATGAGATTTCTTCTGCCCTACACTGGATGTGTAGAGAGATTAAAGTAAAAAAATTTCTGGGGCCAGCATTGTGGTGCAGCAGGAGTGGGTAGATTGCTGCCTGTGATGCTGGCATCCCATATGAGCACCAGTTTGAGACTTGGCTGCTCCACTTCCAATCCAGCTCCCTGCTAATGCACCTAGGAAATCAGCAAAAGATGGCCCAAGTACTTGGGTCCATGCACCCACACTGGGGACCTGGATGGATTTCCAAGCCCTTGGCTTTGGCCTGGCCCAGCCCTGCTCTTTTAGGCATTTGGGGAATGAACCAATAGATGAAAGATATCTTTCTCTCTCTGTGTGTCTCTCTGTCTCTGTTTAATGCTGCCTTTAAAATAAATAAAATGAATCTTAAAAAAGTAAGAAAACATTTAAAGAAGAGAGTATGATCAACACTCAGTTACAAATATTCACTGCTGTCTACAAATCTATATGCACATGTGTATTTTTTTTTAACCCAGCAGTCAATTCCTCCTAAAGCTCTAGGCAATTGTAAAATCAGTGTGGGTGCTTAGACATTTAAGGAAGATTAGAGTCAGTAATTTTTTTTAAAGAAGCTAAAATTAATTCTATGTCGTCATTTCTTATTTGGGAACAAAGATCATACACAATGACCATTAGACTTTTATTTGCAAGGAGGCAAAATTAAAGAGACTGCATTATTAAAGGCAGAATGTTGCATGTGGTGAGGATTAAGAATATAACCAGATTGCTTCTTTGGTTTGCAAATATTTTTTACTTTCCTACAGAACAACTCTACTGGGATATAATTTACATATAGTAAAATTAAGGAGTCTTAACGAGTCTAATTCAAGCATTTTTGGTTATGTGTTGTGCAAGTATCAGTACAGTACAGTTTTAGAGCATTTCCACCATATTAAAATATTCCTTGAGTCCACTGTCAGTCTATCCTCACTGCTACCCTCTAACTGATAATTGGTGTGCTTTTTGTCTCTATTGGTTTGCTTGCCTGGAAACGGCACAGAAATCTACTCATGTAAAATGAAGAGTTTTGCATCTGGTTGCTTGTATTGAGCTTAATGGCTTTGAGATTACTCTGTGTTGTATCACATATCTGTATTTTGTTCCTTTTGATAATAATATTTACATTGTATGGATATAGTGCATTTTGTTTATCTAATGATGAATATTTGAGATGCTTCCATCTTTTGGCTATTGTGAATAAAACTGTTGTGAGTGTTTTCATGCAAAGCTTTGTGCTGACATAGTTTCTTTTGGGTAAATACTTAATTTATTTCTTTTTTTTAAAAATAATTTCTTTTGGGTAAATACTTAAGAATGAAGTTGCAGTGTCAAATGTAAATTAATTTTAACTTTTCAAGACATTGCCAAATGGTGTTCCAATTTTCTAGACAAAATATTCTACCCTTTTCTCTTTAAAAAGATTTATTTATTTGAAAAGTAAAGTTACAGAGGGGGAGAAGGAGAAAAAGAGAGAGAGAGAGAGAGAGAGAGAGAGAGAGAAAGAGACTGAGAGATCTTCTATCTGCTGGTTCACTCCCCAAATGGCAGCAGTGGCTGGACTGGGAGAGGCCAAAGCCAAGAGTCAAGAGCCAGGAGCTTCTTCCAGTTCTCTCACATGGGTGCAAGGGCCCAAGCACTTGCCCTATCTTCCACTGCTTTCCCAGTTACAATAGCAGGGAGCTGGAGCAGAAGTAGAACAACCAGGACTTGAACTCGCATCAGTATGGGATCCTGGCATTACAGATGGAGGCTTAACTCACTGTGCCATAGCACTGGCCTCAATATTATACCATTTTCTGTTGCCATCAACAAGTTATGAAATTTCAAGTTTCTTTCCATCTGCACCAATACTATTTGCATTTTTGAAATAATCATTTTAGTACTTGTGATGTGGTATCACATTCAGATTTCAGTGGGTTTTCCTAAAGACAAATGATGTTCAATGTCTCTTTATGTGCTTAGTAGCCATTCTTCTCTGGTGAAATGTGTATTCAAATATTTTGTTAGTTTCCAATTGGGTAGTTAGTCTTATTGGATTTTAAAAGTATTTTATATATTTAGGATACAAATCCCTTGTTGGGTATCTAGTTTGAAAATTTTCTCCCAGGCTTATCTTTTCTTTTCTTTTCTAAATCAAAGCATACATTTAAATGTATTTATTTAATTATTCAGTCATTGAGAAAGAGAGAGAAAAAAACAGACAGAAAAGCTCCCATCTACTGGTTCACTTTCCAAATGCCCACAACAGCTGGGACTGAGCCAGAACAAAGCCAAGAGCCAGGAAATCCATCTGGGTCTCCCAGTTGGGTGGCAGGGAAATCTGATGGGTGCTCATTTTAGGAAGTACAATTGGGTCTCCTCAGAACGAGGGAGGCACCTTCTTTCTCTTGCTCCTTTTTTTCATTTGTTCTTTTTTTTTTTTTTTAAGGGAAAGAGTTTATTGGGGGAAACGCGACAGACTGGAGGGAAGGGGCAAAAAAGGAAAAGGCAGAAGGGGAGCGTAAGAGAGAGAGATCAGGAGACAGAGAGGAAGAGAGAAAGAGTGTGAGCGCGAGCACCACGTGTTCAGGAACAGGTCCTTTTAAAACCTTGCGGGGAGGGGGCAGGGAAGTGGAACAGCGAATCCCATTAGGATGGGGGTGGGGCTGACACTGGTGGTTGGGCCATGTGGCCACCTGGCTTCCAGCCATGGGGGGGGCATGCTAGAGCCTAGGATGTAAATCAGGGTGTAGATAGTGCCATAGATAAGACTGCCCCATTTTACTAACACTCCCCCGTTTTGTTTTTTATAAAGCAGGAGTTGTATGGGGTTACATTAGTCCCAAAAGTCCAGGACGGGTAGAGGGACGATGGTCTTTAGTGCTACTTCCTGCTGACATTGGGCGATAAGGCACTCTTCGTTGGCATGGGGCAATGTGTCAAGCTGCTGTCTCCTGGGTGGGGAGCCGAGTATATCCCTGTAGCAGCATTTGATTGACTGCCTGGTTGCTGAATTTTCAGTTGTTCTATTAAATGCAGGTCCACAAAGTTTCTTCTGTGGCCAAAATGTCCTTTCTCTTTAAAGTACAAGAAACCAGGTCTGTTAAAGCATTTTCCATGGGTCTTGAGTGTTCTTTATTTGTTACTGCTTTGTGGTCACTTTCTAAACTTCCAGATTATCCAGCTGGTGTTCATTTTCTTAAGTGCCTTGGATTTGTGTACTTTCCTGATTTCATCAGCTACAAAACATTGGTTCAAATAACTCTTTTCTTGTCCTGTTCCCATGGTTTTACACTTACGTCAGCCCCATTCGCAATCAAGTGAATTGATCACAATGTTTGAAAATTTTAAGATCATGCATCTTAACTGGTTTTCAGTTGTTAAAACTGTGTTATTTTAGGTGATTGCTAACACTAAAGAAGAATTCATGTGACTACATGTTTCAAAGTGAGTGGGCCCATATCTTATTTTTCACATTGATTGAACTTCTTAACTTCCATCCAAGATACAGAGTCTACATGGTCCTCGGCATTATAACACGATATATGGTGACTGTTATTTTGACTGGAGCATAACTTGGGCATTAGGTGAAAGATACTTTTCTTGCAAATGCAAAGTTCTGATCTCCAGTTTAAGCCCTTACTTGCACTGAAAAGTTTCTATAAACTTTCATAATGGACCATTTTTACCTTTGTCCTTCTAGATCTGCTTTCTACCCTTTTTCCTCTTGCTTTGTTCCCAGAGAGCTCATTTATATGGCCTGTATAAACAATTTCCTTGCTTTCTGGATTTTATCTAATTTTGAAAATTCTTAATAAGTTTTTTTATTTGCTTGAAGGGGGGGGGGAGAGAGAGAGAGAGAGAGAGAGGAAATGAGAGACAGAGAGAGGTTTCTCATCTACTAATTTGTTCTTGAAATGCCCACACAGCTGGAGTTGGGACTAGTTGAATCCAGGATCTGGAAGCACAATCCAAGTCTCAGATGGTGGGAAGAACCAACTACTTCAGCCATCATTATGGCTTTCCAAGGTGTGCATTAGCAGGAAGCTGGAATTGGGAGCCAAGCTGGGACTTGAATTCAGGCATTTCTAAGTCTTTAAGCAATACCTTAACCACTGTGCCAAATAGAACCCTGTTCCCTGGATTCTCCTGTGTATTTGAAATTATGTCATACTATTTATATAGAGTGATCTATTGTATCCTGTCCTTGGACTTGCATGGCTTTAGATCATCAGAGAATGTGTCAGTGATTTCTGGTTGGGTATTATTTTACTTGAATGTATAAAGAAGACCCTTCCTGCCTCATTTTTAGCAAGGCATCAATAAAGTCTATTTCAGCTGTGAAGGTGAATGGGGACTAGATCCTTACATTCAGAAGTTGCATAAAAATAAAAACTATGCAGGAATGCATTGGTGGATCCTGAACGCCTTGGCTAGATCAAAGATACCAAGAGTCCCAAGAATACTGAAGCATGCTTTATGGAAAGTTTTCTTTTAGAGAGCTGTTGTCATTCTGTGAATCTCAACTACATGTCAGACAGCAGTGGGGAGTGAGAGTTAGTGGTACTATCTGACTCAGAACTGATAGAGCTAAGGCAGTCTATGAATGAAGGGTGGAAGTTGGATTTTTATCACAAACTTTAATAGAATACAGGAATGTTGAGTATTTTCTGTGGACTGGTGGCAGGTCCTATAAGAGAGAGCATGCCAGAATATATTTTACTTTTGGTCTTCTCCAAAAAAGAGAATAATGGGATCTAATGGTGAAAGTCCATATAGAATGACAACCAGATAACTAGTAGAGGCCAGTGGAGGAAAAGAATACTGCATACTCCCATGGGATCTGAAGTCAGGAGGGCCCAAAGGAGGAACCTCTGCTGGGCTCAAGGGTCCACTCCGAGGAGAAGGAATTAACCTGAAACATTTACGTTTGTGCTGCACCTTAGAATTATTACATTTTAAATTGTTCCATGGACATTTAATATTCTCTGTAGGATATGAAGTTGGGAATAAGACCGTATCCTTATGCACTGTTATGGATTGCTTTATGTCATTTATTTTTATTTACTTGGATTGATATAAAAATTATATATTGTTGCCTTCCATTAAAATTGTGTTTCTTTTTAGATATAATTGCATATGATGGACTTTGTTGCTTTCATGTGACTTTGTGCTAGAACTGCTGTAGTTTAATTATGGAAGCCACTAAGATCTCAATAGATAACTGGTATAGGATACCAAAAGTTCATTTATAAAAATGAAAAAAACAAATGGTACAAGGCAAAAAATGTTATATCTGACTATCAACTAAAAATAACTTGCTGAAGTGTTTATTTAAAAATATCCATTCAACAAATATTGACTGACCACATGTTTTTGTGCAAACCACTGTGCTAGCTATTGAAAACACATAGTGATATCAAATAAGCCCCTTGTTCTCTTTGTGCAGTTATAGAAGTTTAAAAAATCTTAATGCTGGTTTAGCTTTGTAGTGTAGCAGAATAATCCGCTGCATAAGATGCTCACATACCATACTGGACTGCTGGTTCAAGTTCTGGCTAATCCAGCTTGCTGCTAATACAGCTGAAAAGCAGCAGATGCTGGCTTAAGCACTAAAATTCCTGTTACCCATGTGGGAGACCAGGATGGATTTCTTGGTTCCTAGTTTCAGCCTGGCCCAACACAAGCATTTGGGAGTAAAATAGTGGATGAAAGACCTCTCTCTCTCTCTTTCTTGCTTTCTCTCTCTCTCTCACACTCTACCTTTCAAATAAAGAAATGAAGCTTTAAAAAAAACTTTATGCTTGCAAGAATGCATTGGGAAGCATTTTTGCAAATCAGTTATCTCCTGATGGCATTTCTTAGAAAAACTTTCTATACAAAGACCTAAAGACCTAAAACATTTGTACCTTTTGACCCAATTATTGTATTTCTAAGGGTGTTTGTTGGGAAGAGAATAAAAAATAGAGTTAAAAGAGTGAAGAAACACTTTCATCAGAGCAGTAGGTTTTAACTCAAATGTCCAGCTATTATATTATGGAATGCAATGATTTTTGAAGTGTCTATGATGAGTTGCTGAGTTAAAAGTTCAATAAGAAATTGCATATGTAATTTCAACTATATGTCTGAAAAAAGATAGGAAGAAAATAAATAAATTAAAATGTTGAAATTGGGGCCAGCATTGTGGCATAGAGGCTAAAGCTGCCACCTGCAATGCCGGCATCCCATATGGGCACTGGTTCATGTCCTGGCTGCTCCACTTCCCATACAGCTCCCTGCTGAAAGCCTGGGGAAAGCACAGAAGATGGCCCAAGCATTTGGAGCCCTGTGACAATGAGGGGAAACCCAGATGGAGCTCTTGGCTCCTGGCCTTGACCTTGCCCAGCTCTGGCCATTGTGGCCTTCTGGAATGAACCAGCAGTTGGAAGATCTCTCTCTCTCTCTCTCTCTCTCTCTCTCTTTTTCTCTCTCTCCACTCTGCCTTTCAAATAAATAAAAACTAACATTTTTTTTAAAAAGATGGTATTTTCAACAAATGATTGTGGAATAACTGGATATCCACACGTAAAATCTAGACACAGATCTCACATCCTCCACAAAAATTTACTAAAAATAAATAACAAAACACAAAACTGTCTCCCTCCTAAAAGAGATCATGGGAAAAAATCCTCATAACTTTGGATTTGGCAAACACTTTTTACTTATTTCTATTTTTATTTTTCAGTAGAACTTTTAAAGAAGCCATTACTTTTTTGATCTTTTTTAAAACATTAAAAATTTATTTATATAAAGGGAATATATTTTATATATACAGTTTTAAGAACCTAATGATACTTCTCTTCCTCTATCACTCCTACCTTCTCTCCTTTTCCCTTTCTTATTTTTCTTTTAATTTTTGTGATTACTTTAATTTACTTTACAATCAAAAGCTTAATCTCCACTAAAAAAGAATTCAACATGTAGTAAGTAGAAAAACCACTGTTTCTCAGGAGCATAGATAAGGGCTATAAATAATAATCAAATCTCAAGGTTGGCAATAATTTTAAAAATCATAACACTAAAGGCACAATCTATAATTCCAACTCATCAACATTAAAAATTTCCCCTCTGTTAAAAACACTGTCAAGAAAATACAAAGATGAGCCACAGTCTTAGTGGAAATTTACCAAAGACATTTGATAAAGGATTACTATCCAAAATATACAAAGAACTCTTAATAATAAGAAAGCAATAAAAGCAGAAATGGGCTGAAGACATTAAAAGACACCTCACTAAAGAAGATATACAGATGGCAAATAAACATATGAAAAGATTCTCCATATCTCATGTCATCAGTAGAATTAAATTTTAAGCATATCCATACATATATACATATGTATGTATGCATCATCTCATATATATCACTACACATCTATGAGAATGGCCAAAATTTAAACACCGACAGCACCAAATGCTGGCAAGACTGTGGAGCAACAGAAACTCTCATTCATTATTGGTTGGAATTCCATATATCACAGCCACTGGAAGACCATTTTATAGCTTCTTACAAAACTAAGCGTACTGTTATCCTAATATCCAGTGGTTGCATTCCTAGTATTTGCCCGAAGGAATTAAGAACTTGTGTCTACACATGGATGTTCATAGTGGATTTATTCATAGTTTCCCAAATGTGGAAGTAGCCAACTTTTTCTTCAGCAGGTGAGATAAAGCATGGCATGTTTATACAAAGAAGCGTTATGCAGTGCTAAAAAGAAATGAACTATTAAGCCATGGAAATACTCAGAGGAAATGCAAAAGCTTATTACTAAGTGAAACAAGCTAGTTTAAAAAAGGCTACATAAATATTGGAATATGAAGATGACATTCTGGAAAGGCAAAACCATGGAGACAGTAAAAGGACCAGTAATTTCTAGAGCTTTGGAGGGGAGGAGTGAAGGACAGGCATAGCACAAAGGATTTTAAGACAGTGAAACTACTTGGTACGATGCGATAATGGTGGGTACATGTCACTGTAAGTTTGGCTGCATAGATGTTCACATCAGGAGTGAACCTTGAATGGTTCATTACCACTTCGAGTGTATCAGTGTGGTTCATCAATTATCGGATTGTACCATTCTGTAGGGGGGATATTGATAATGGAGGAGTCTGCGCATGTGTAGGGGGCAGGGAGTATAGGGAAAATCTCTTTGACTCCTGCTTAATTTTGCTGTGAACCTAAAACTGCTCCAAAAAAATATAAAGTCTATAAAATACATGTTTAGTTAAGAGCCTCTAGCAGAAATAAGTCTGGTTTTGCTACTTTTTATTAATCTGTAGAACTTGCCCTTAGCCCTAACTATTGTCAGATCTCTCTAAAATGGAGAGAACTTTATACAAATTTGTCCTTACTTTTGAGGTCAAGTGATTTACTTTTGCATAAAACAAAGTTTTATTAAAAACTTCATTACATGAGTATTATGGGAAGCAATTTTAAATCCACTCTCCCCTTCTTTAATGAACATCTTTTTTTGGTTTAAGGTAGATAAAATAATTCATAAATCTATTAACCATGTACAAATCAACTGCAGTATATTTGGCTAAGTTATAAACTTGGGTTCACTAGAACCTTTCTGAGTTGGGAGGTCCCCACTCTTCTCTCCATTTGAAATACGCTCTGTGACTATGATCATATCTTGTCTGGGCCAGGTGGGAGCACCACAGCTTGGTGATTTAGTAAATTAGTCAAGTCTGTCTCTCCTCACAATGAATCTAAGTCAGAAGTTTTGATGTTTTCTTCCTAGACTCCAATGGATCACCTTATATCTTTTTTTTTTTTTTTTTTTTGACAGGCAGAGTGGATAGTGAGAGAGAGAGACAGAGAGAAAGGGCTTCCTTTTTGCCATTGGTTCATCCTCCAATGGCCGCCATGGCTGGCGCGCTGCGGCCAGCGCACCACCCTGATCTGAAGGCAGGAGCCAGGTGCTTCTCCTGGTTTCCCATGGGGTGCAGGGCCCAAGCACTTGGGCCATCCTCCACTGCCTTCTTGGGCCACAGCAGAGAGCTGGCCTGGAAGAGGGGCAACCGGGAAAGAATCCAGTGCCCCAGCCGGGACTAGAACCCGGTGTGACGGCACCACTAGGTGGAGGATTAGCCTATTGAGCCGCGGCGCCGGCCCATCTTATATCTTAACAAGAACAAATGCAGAGAAAACAGGCAGCAAATGTGGTTGAGAGATCAGGTAAAATGAGAATGGAGAACAGTTTTAGAATTCTGCAAAAGTGGAGATTTTGGTGACCTTGTCAATGTCATTCGATGGAGTGAGGAGACAAAACAGAGTAGAAGAAAGAGTGAGATGAAGAATAAAAGATTAATCTTAAGGGGAAGATTCTCTGTGAAAAGAAAGTAAATAAATATACCATCATTAGATGGTGTATGAGAAGGTCAAGGATTCTGTTTCATTTATAATTATTTATTTGAGAGGCAGATGGGGGAGGGTGACAAGATTGAGACTGAGGGAGAAAGGGCTCTCATCTGTTGGTTCACTCCCCAAATGTCCACAAGAGCCAGGGCTGGGTTGTATCTGAGTGGGGAGGTGGGAACTCTGTACAGGTTTCCCACGTGAGTGGCAGGAACTCAGTTACTTGAACCATCACTACTCTCTCCCCAGGTCTGCATCAGCAGGAAGCTGGAGTCGGGAATCAGAGCCAATTATCGAATTCAGACACTCCACTGTGGGACAGGCATCTTGATACCTGAGCTAAGTGCTGAACCTTTCATTTTACTTGTAAAGGATGTGCGAGATGTACGTGTTATATTAGGATGCATGTATCCTCTATCTTCTATCTTTGTAGCCTATCTGAAAAGCAGTTTAGCTTGCAATTGATCCTTTCTGCTTCTTGTGTCATGGCGTTACTGAGAGGACCGGAGTAGATAGACACAATCTTCTAAGAGATCAATTTCATGTTTTCATTTTTCTTTATATACTTGTAACTATGTAAATACTTATTTTTGATATTTTCATTGGAATGGTTTCATCCATTCTCAGGGCCAAGGGCAACCTGGAAAATAAGCACCTGTGCCAATAGCCTGGATATTACCACAACAGTGGCATGAATGCAGAGATACGCCAATGCTGTTGCTGAACTGCTGCTAGAAATAGTGTACAGTGGCAGACCTTCTTCCATGGTAAAGTAGCAATGCAAACTATCCCTGTCCACGGGCAGCAGGCTTGGGCCATTTTGCAGCAAAGGGCAGTGAACCTGACAGAAGGTGGTGCTATGCAAAGCAGAGAGAAGTCATCTGAGAGTCTCATCTAAGGAGATGGCAGACTGTAACAACAGCTGTTTCTCCTGTGTTCCAGCTGCAGAATTCAGGTCTGTGCTTCATTTATTACTCTAATCGGTCCAAAGTGTGCATCGATACTCAGGCAGACTCCATTTAGCCATTCAGAGTCACTGTGAATGCTCATATGATATATAGTTCACACAATAGAAAATTGGCAGATTATACAAATACAGCACTATCTCGCCTCGTTTGCTAAAATAGAAATTAAACCTGCAATTTTAGTCATTGTGTTATCTAGAAATTTCTTTGCAGATATTTCAAAAAGCTGTACAGTACTATGGAAAATACAACAATTACCATACTATCGAGACAATTACTGGATAGAAAGAATTCCATTTTATTGCTGTAAGTCAGCAAGAAAAATGATCAAAGTCAACATGATAATAGGACTAATGTATGACTTGAGGATAAGCTTCTGAAACCAGTCAATTATAGATTGCTCAACTTCTATTTTGCCTCTTAGTTGGTATTACTGGTTGGTGACTATCACTGAAAGAAAGCAAAGAAGGAAAAAGACATAGAAAGGTAGTTGAGTGAATGGTAAGTAAATTTAGGGTACATATTTCATAAAAAGGATATAATACTGAATATGCCTTTTATGAGTTCATATAAAGTTGTTCAACTTTTCAAAATCCCAAGATATTTCAATGGTTTTTAAATACATTTATAAATGTAGCAAACAATATCAAAATGAACATGTCTGAGTAAAATTTCATGCTTTTTACAAATCCTACCTGCTAACCTAGTCATTTTAAACAGCATTTAAAATAGGTAAAATTCTAGGACAAACCAAGAACAGTATACACCTCCTTGAGGTCTATTTTAATACCACATAACCTGAGGCTAAAACTAAATCTCACCTCATTTGTTTGCAATTCCCTCTTCTAAACGGTTGCCTTAACAGAACATCAGACATGGTAGTGACTGAAAATAAGGACAGGGTAAGCTACTTGCAGAGCCTGAAGGGGAAGACCATTAAAAATGGATGCATAATAAATGAGATTAGCCGATTGAGGATGACATCCAAGCAAGGGTTCTCAAATGTGTCTCTGGGAGACTTAGGGTCACTGAGGTGTGGAATCAGGGAGACAGGAGTGTGAGTGTAACTCTAGCAATGAAGCCTTAATCAGCTGCAGTCTATACCAGCCAAAGGAATACGAAATTAACAAAAAGGGAGAAGGCTTGCAAAGCTCCTAAAAAAAAGAGAGGATCCCACACTTTCCATTTGTGCCCACCCTGGGAGGGGAGAGTCCTTAGGAAGCCCACATGGGTTTTGATCTTGTCTGGCACATCCAGATCTACGTTACAGAGGATGACTTGGGTATCCCAGCTCAGTGGCTCATCGAGTTGTGTATGTATCCTCTTAGTGTGATTCTACAATTGTCAAGCAGCAGTTTGGGGATTTAATTACAGAATTTAGGTAGACAAGTAACAGCTCCTCCCTCCCTCAATGTCAAATTAATTAATTTGAACAATGAAACAAATATTTATGGAGCATCTATTTTACACCTGGGTCTAAAACAAGAGAAGCATAGGCTCAGTCTTCACGGAGCTTATGAAATATTCTTTCTCATTAGTGGTTATTTATCATCATTAAAAAGAACATTGACAGAATGTTTTATTTATTTAGACTCTAATAATTTTATTGTCACAGATTAGTCATCCTGACTTAGATTACTCTGTGAGTGTTGTTAAAACGTCAGTTTATGGACATGCAGGCGAGGAGAGGGCTGACAGTGATGTCCCCCAAACAGTCGCACAGAACACAAACATTATCTGGATGGCCAGCTTGTCACCTTCAAGTGACATGTCTACCGTGTTTCTGCTTGCCTGCACCAAATCATATCTTCAGAAGTAATCATGAGACAAGATTCCAAATGACGCATGTCAGAAAATGAAAATGATCTTCATGACATGATTCCTTAGAAACTGAAACTAAGAGGGAAATTTGGTACTCTGATTTCTTGCACAAAAGAGAATGAATACAAAGGAATCATATTTTAAGTGATTATTTTAAAAAGATACATGCTTTTTTTATTTGTAAAGTAAAAGGGAATTTCTCTAAAATGGCCTTGTTTATAATTTAAGAACTTTTGTACTTAAATGTTTTTTCCTACTTCAGCGAAATATTTCAAATTAACTTACACTTCCTAAGCTGGTTAGAAAGAAATATTAGTTGAAGATTAACTAAATTATTGAATTAAACTAGAAGCATAAATTATAATAAAAATTTATTAGAAAAGGTAAGTATATATTAAATTATAGTAGATTTTGGAGTCCTTAATGTCAATTAAAAATGTAGACTAAAATTCATGTGAAATAAACATAAGATTCTATATATCCTTTTCCAGGCCTTTTTATTTTTGCAATCTTTCAATCATGTGAATAGTATAGTGATTTAAAAATTTAATCCTTAAATATAAAAAGCCATGAAAAATAAGTTAGAAATGTAGCCAAATTGAGACTAATTGTGTCTCTAAAATTTTTTAATGTTTAGCTGCAATATTAAATATTATATTTTAAAGCTCAAACTTTATATTTAGAGGTATTTATAAAAAGAGAATTTTGATTCTATAGCTGAGTGCTTAGGAAAGGCTGCACACAAATATGAAAAGACTGAAGTAATTGAGCTATCTGTCTACAGTGCTCTGAAAGCCACACTTTCTAATCTTGAACTGCTGCTTGCTTTAGGGCTTCTGCACTCACATTTGTAGCTTTCATTTCAACAACAAATCCCAGTTCAGATAGCCCTTAGGGCCAACATGGTGGTAATTTGGATGTTCTGGTGCTGAGCTCCACTTCTAGCCTTCCTTTTCTTTCCTATCCTCATTCTTTAAAAATTTTTTAAAAAATTATTTATTTGAGAGAGAAGGGAGAGAGCAAGAAAGGGTGCTCTCCCACCCACTGATTCACTCTCCAAACACCTTCAATGGGCTAGCACCCAAAGTGAGAGCTGGGAACCCAATTCAGGTCTCTTACATGGGCAACAGGACTTGACCCACTGCCTGCTACCTCTAAAGGTACACATTAGAATTGGAATTGGAGAAGGTACACATTGGAATTGGGAGCAGACCTGGGACCTGAACCCAGGCACTCTGATATGGGATACTACACCAAATGCTTGCCCTTCCATTCTTCTTCATTGGTCCTTCCTTCATCTCCAATGCTTCTTCATATGGGATACCATTCTCTCTTTGCTGATTATCTCAAATTTCAACGCACAATAAGTCATAGTTCTTTTTAGGAGCTTTGCCTGATACTGCACACTCACATGATTTTACTTTTTTGACAAGTTTCTGTAAAATAGTAAATTACTGCTGATTTTGACTTTGGCATTAGTTGTATCTATTGACTTCTATGTTCTATATTCTGAAATTAAATAAATATTAACCAAGAAGGATTCCACTACATTCTTTGAGGAAGTGAGCACCTATGGCATTGGGGGTCTGAGTAATCTGGACCTGTTAAGGTAAGGCTGTTGTTGACTTCCTGTTTCCAGGCATTCTCTGCTTTCTTCAGAGGCTTCCAGATTCTAGATGAAGAAGTGGTTTGTAAACTCCAATGTGTCTATCGAATATCAAGACTTGCAAAAAAATTCTTGTTTTATTTTCACATGCTTCTTATGTTGGAATAGAGCAATGTTATCATACAGAAATATTCATTTTATTTTGGAGACATGATAAAATACTACTTATCTATTGGTAACCATTTCTATGTTTTAATTCACCTGAGATTTTTCACTTGGAGGGCAGGGGTACATATAATTGGTGAGGCAGCTGAGAAGTTAGAGGTGAGAAGGATGTTAAGGATGATGCTGGGACCACTGGGTAGATACAACACATGCCACATACAAAGAATCACTATCCAGAACCTAAAAAGAATGCCTATAAACCAACAAGAAAAAGACAACCCAATAAAAAATTGGTAAAGTGATATGAGCAGGCAATTTGCAAAAGAGGAAGCAGTAGATGGTGCCTAAGCATACAAAAACACATTTAAACAGAGCAGTTACCAAGAAGACACAGACACATATTAAAACAACGATACCATTCCACAAGCATCAGCTCAGTAAATGTTGAATGGCCTACCAACAAGTGAAGCAAGGATATAGGCAAATATCTCACACAACCATTGAACAGAAAGCTCAGTGGTAACTTGGGAGGGCAATCAGGAAAGGTGTGGTACACTTTCAGTACTTTACTGAGATGCCCACCTGGTATGTCACGTGTACTCTCTTCATTACACTTGAGTAGCATGCCTGCTGCTACTCTGTCTCATGTCTGAATTCTTTCTTGTGCAAAGCAAGGAACTCTGAGCAACTGATCTATGGTAACATATTAGACCACCATGAAGGGACTAGAAGGAAAACAGTGAATAAAAGCCATTCAGCTACAGATGGTTGTGAGTCAGGGTTTCAAGCCCATACCAATGGACAGTGTGACCACTGGACCATCCCTGGACTACACAAGACAATGTTCTCCCAGGCCACCTCTGAACACCACAGGACAGACAGCAAGAAAATAGCCATAAGCAACTGTATGCCCATATGCCAGTTCTGAGGAAAATACAGAAGATGGATCTTCATTCATATTACCCCTATAAGATTATGGGTTACTTCTTTTGAGGGAGGAATGTTAACATAGCTAGCTAGACATGAGTCAATGTGTGAATAAGGGGCCAGAGAAAAAGAGGCATTTCTGTGTGACTGAATGAGGAAAAATGTAGAAATAAGCTAGCAATTATGTATCTAGAGTATTGAAAGAAATGTAGTAACAAACCAGCATTTACATATCAAAAGTATTGTCATTATTCAATAACCTGGTTGGATGGGTCTCAGTCCTCTTCTGGAGGCAGCTTAAGGGAATCTCATCATCATTTGCCAAGGGGGCTATTGTGAACTTCTAGGAGGAATTCCACACCTGGAAAGCTCTCCAGCCAGCCATATCCCGGAGAGGGTTTAGAGAGAAATGGAGAAATGGAGGACCCATACCCATATACATAAAGGACCAAGTATGAATGCAGACTGGGC